AGATAATGAGATTCAGAAAAGGAGGTGGGAGGACAAAGAAGATAAACTGGAGATGGAAGGGGAAGAAATTAGAAGTGAAGCAGTTCAAATATCTGGAGTATACTATACAAAGGAATGGAGGGCAGGAGGCGCATGTAAGGGAGAGGAGAAAAGGGCGGCTATAGTGATGAGGGAGGTGTGGGGAATTGGGAAAAGGTTGTGGGGAAAGGATTGGGAAAGGGGAAAGTGGCTGTATGATACAATGGTGTGGACGCTAATGGAGCAGAGATATGGGGGTGGAAAGAGAAAAAGGAGATAGAGGAAACATACGAAAGATACATGAAGTGGACAATGGAAGTAGACCGGAAAACTCCAGGATACATGATTAGGGAAGAGGTAGGAAGAGGATTAATAAGAGGGAGAGCAGGAAGAAGGGCTTGGAAAAGAGACTGGAAGAAGGGTAGGGAGGAGAAATAGCTAGAAGGTGTTGGATAGAGATGAGGGGAAGATGGAAAAGAGGGAGGATAATAGGGACATAGAAGCAGGAGAGAAAGGAGTTTTTAAGGGAAAGCGGGGTACAAGAAAGAGGACGAAAAAAGGGATTATGGGGAGTTAGAGGAGAGAGACAAGAGAAGGCAGGAGGAAGAGAGGGAGAAGAAAATAGGAGATTCTAAGTACAATAAGTGGTATAGAAGAGTGAGAGGAGAGGGTATTCCAGAATATTTAAAAAAGAGATGGGCGGAGAGCAGATGAAAAAGAGTAATAAAATTTAGACTGGAAAACGAAGTTAAAGAAAGATTATATTGGGAGAGAGAGGAGAAGAGGAAATGTCGAGTTTGCGGGGGAGAGGAAGAGACATGGGAGCATGTGTGGGAAGGAAGTATGAGAGGAGAGAGGGGGAAGGAAGAGAGTTGGCAGGGAGTAATGAAAAGGATATTAGGAAGAGACGGAGGGGGTGAGGAATGGATGAAAGAGATAGAAAAGGCATGGCAAAGAGAATAAGGGGAAGGAAAGAGAAAGTGTGTTGGCATGCGGGATGTGAGTGTGCGAGTGAGTGTGATGAAAGAGAAAGAGAGACAGAGAGAGAGAGAGAGAGTGGGAGAATGAAAATAAGAGTAGGAGAGAAGCGGGAGAATAAGAGAGAGAGAGAGAGAGAGAGAGAAAGAGAAAGAGAGAGAGAGAGAGAGAGTGAAAGGGAAAGGGAAAGGGAAGAGAAATAAAGGGAAGAACGGCGGAAGCGGAGGTCCATGTAGGAAATAAGGCATATTGTAAGATAGCTATAAGTAGAGTGTAAGATAGACGTAAGGATAACAGGCGAACAGAGCGGAAAAAGAGAGAGAAAGTTAGGAAGGTTAGGTTGCGGCGGAGAGGTTAATGCGGAAAATGTAAAGATTGTAATTCCATAGGGGACCAATAAAAGTTTATACATACATACATACACACATTTAATATAAAAATACATTTAATAGAAAATACATTTAATAGAAAACTTATTTAACATAAAAATATGTAAAATAAAAAATATATAAAGCGTATAAAATGTAGAAGCTGCTTCTGAAATAGAAAAAAATTATTAGTAAATTTATTTTTAATGTATTATAAATTTAAAAAAGAAGATACTTACGATAATTACCACACTTCTTACTCGTCATAAGGCTCAAGACCGAATAATTTCCGCAAACAAAATATATCCTCGTAATATATAGCCGGATATCTCTCATCCCACTCGCGGGCCTCCCGTGTGTCCCTCCACAAATTATCCAACTCCCATTGCTGGTTACGACACATCCACGGTGCAAAATGTTCAAAAATCGAATTTCCTCTATCAACTGAAATATATTATTTAAATAATATATATCGCGAATACGCGCAAAATATATAACGGAAATACCGAGCGTACTACTTACCAGATAATGCGGTAGCATCATGTACACATATGTGCAATGACAATTTACGTTATAGTACGTCGACATTTTTCGATTAATACCTTATTTCTTAAAAACTGTACGCGAGAACTGTTAAACGCTTTATGACGAGTAAAACGGTATAAACATTTTAGTGTAGGAGATATGCGGCGAGCGTTTATCGCGGGAAGGATACGCGGTCGCGATAAAAGAAAGACGCGGCTCATTCTTATAGTACGTGTATTTTGTAACTGTATGACAAATACATTCTTAAAAGATTAAGACGTACAATTAAATTTTTATAGAAAATATAATGATACATAATGCGGTTATACTTAATATGATGATACATAATGTAGTGTAACGTTTCACCTTTCCCGTACGCCGCGGATCACGCTCGCCGGTGTCAGGATTCGGGAGAAGGGAGAAACTCTAACTCACTTTTTCTCAGTATAATCGGTTAAACAATGCGTTTATTCAAATAGTTGTGAAAGATAGTTAAACACCGCAAGCTATAGTATATGTACAATGCAACATGCGGGAGCGGTGCGTACAGAAGTTCGCGAAAGCTATACTATTTACAATGCAACATGCGAGAGCGGTGCGTACAGAAGTTCGCGATAGCGGTTCTACGCGTTGACTGGTGCGCGTGGAGCTCGGGAAGCGAGCGCGGCTCATGCGGACGTGTTCTGCGATCGCAGTATTCGCATGCAAGCAATTATTGTTATTCTAAGACAAACAGAATTGATCTGAAATGCTACGGGGTGTCGCATGGCCTTCAATGTAATTCCAACTGCCCGACTACCTTATCCTTAGAAGGACGGGGCGTCGGCACTTTCTGCGGCTTATCCTTAGAAGGACTAGCACGCTATTGTAGTCTGAAGGCCGTGTGTAAAGGTGGAGTCGGCGCGACACTGGTGGCTATTCTAATACGTTTAATTAACTCTGCAATCACAAGATTTGGCCCGATGGCCGGTCTAGATGCGGTATATACAACGCGGTCTTACGATCTAGCGGGTCGCGGTATAGATACAAAACGGTCTTAAATCTTAACAACATGCGGGGACCAAAGTGGTCTGACGGTAGAACAGGTCGCGGTATATACAAGGCGGTGCTAGAGTCCCTTAGGACGCGGAGACCAAAGCGGTTTTACGGTACAAACAGGTCGCGGTATATACAAACGGTCTTACGATATAACAGGTTGCGGAGAACGCGGTACGGACTTACAAGCTAGCAGGATGCGCTGTCCCAGCAACCGGGAAGCCCGGCCTAACTACGGGAAGCCCGTAGCCTGGTATAAGGCGGGGTATCAAGGTGTGCCGGCCCAGCAACCGGGAAGCCCGGCCTAACTACGGAAAGCCCGTAGCCTGGTGTAACACGAGAGATCAAGATGCGCCGTTCCGGCAACCGGGAAGCCCGGCCTAACTACGCGAAGCCCGTAGCCTGGTATAACGCGAGAGTCGGTTCAGGATCCGGAGAGTTGTACGTGACAGGAATCGGGATCGGGAACTGGTAACGCTACGCTCGCCGGAGCGCCTTATATACCGGCGGCCGGCCTCCCACTCACGCGAGTCGGCGCGTGGTGGGGCGGTCCCATGGTGGGGCCGAGACACGGGTGTGGAAGTTTAGGGGCGCCATAGGCGCCGAAGCCTCTGA